ACATGACAACACACACAAACAAACACACACACAACACACACACAAGAGAGACACACACACACACAACACACACACACACACACACACAACACACACACACACACACACACACACACACACACACACACACACACACACACACACACACACACACACACACACACACACACACACACACACACACACACACACACACACACACACACACACACACACACACACACACACACACACACACACACACACACACACACACACACACACAGATAGAGACACACACAGAGAGAGAGACACAGAGACACACACACACAGAGAGAGACACACACACACACACACACACACACACACAGACACACACACACACACACACACACACACACACACACACAGATAGACACACACACACACACACACACACACACACACACACACACAGATAGAGACACACACAGAGAGAGAGACACAGAGACACACACACACACACACACACACACACACACAGATAGAGACACACACAGAGAGAGAGACACAGAGACACACACACACAGAGAGACACACAGAGAGACACGAGAGAGACACAGACACCATTATCCTTTCTAAAATGTTAAGAAAATATTGAATAAGAATAAAAAAAATACAACAAAGACAATCAAACCATTTTGTTTTTTAAAGATCATGGATCCAGGAGGATGTTAAAAATCTTCCAGGTGCTGATCATGTGTTTACCTCCAGAGTCGATGACGATGTCCACTCCCAGTCCTCCCGTCTCCTCCATAACCACGGAGAGCAGCTCTGATTTGTCTTTATAAACTGGGATCACCTTTGCTTTACACACAAAGACACAGAACCATCATATAAATATGGATCATAACGCAATAAAACAAAACTAAAAACCTGCAATCGTGCAATTCAGATCCTATCAGCAGAACATATCTCATTGGAAGATCGTTTAAATTGCAGTGGTTGCAATTCCAATGTTATCCACATGGTGGCGCCAGTTTTTAAAATGCATTCTCCCGTTTACAACATTTACGCAAATCAGAAGGTCTTATCTTTGGGTGACAAACATCAAATTATCGTTAAATCTTTGAAAACATTTGTAAAATATTATAACAAAAACAGTATCTGATAAACTGGTGATTTACAGCTCACAGGAATCATTAGGGATTTAGAAATCAGATCGTATTGAACTGCCTTTAAGTGCAGGAATGAGAAGATTAGCGAGGGAAATAAGCCTGTAGTTCAGGAAGAAAGACAGAAGGAAAAGATCTCACCTACTAACGGGTCCTGAACACCTGAGGAAATGTGGAGCGGCGAGGAAAAGATCAGAAGAAGACAGAAAAAATATGGAAATATTTTTATAAAAAGAGGGAAAAAGCCTGACATGATCATAAAAGCAAAGCGCTTAGGTCTGATTTGTGGATAATTCATTATTTGTTTCAAGGACTTTCATTGGGTGATTGGGTTTAAATATTTTCAAAGAAGTGTTTTGTAAGTGAACTACAGTCATCACGATGCTGGCCTGTACGTACCCACGCTGGGTCGAAGCTGCTCCAGGAAGGTGTTTTCTTCTGCTGTGTGTGACGTTGTAAAAACCTTCACTCCGTGGTAACACGCCAACTGGATGCACATGAGGCCAAAAGACTGAGGAGGGAGCGGGACATGGGGAAACACACTTATTAATATGTTTTTTTTTAGTTTAAAGGTCTCCTATTACACTCTTTTTCATCAGATATATACAGAGCCTGTCTCTGATTGGCTGGAACACCAAACAGATCATTGCAGCATTACCCATAATCCCCTCTGTTTCAGCCCTGTTTCCAAAGTGCTGATTCTCTGTCTGTTAGTTTAGATGAAAATAAGGAGCCCCTCCCCACGCCCCTCTGAGAGAGATTTGGTTACAAAT